AATATCGGTTACATATTTTCCGATAGGCAGTCCAATCTACTTCTAATTTTGTTTTCCGCATCTTTCTCTCTCGTCTCCTACGCTTTACTTTCAATTGTCTTAGTTCGTCATTGTACCAAGGAGTTGAACGCTTAACTTTCATTAGCTTTCTTCGGACAGGAGCATGGGTATTTAAAATACGTTAAAGTACGTCATCATAGCAATGCACTAATTCATCAAGATGTGCAATGTTTTCGCAATGTGAATTCACATTGCTTAGATCAAGTTTAAAGTCAACAATGTTAATCTTTTTCAGTTCACGATAAGAAATTAGCTTTTTGGAGTCATTCGGACGAGGAATAGATAATTTACATTCCACAAAACAATGGTCGGACAGAAAGAAAGTACTCTCAATCGAAAGGATATTAATGTCACTTGTAGATCGACTTATCAATAGATCCAGTGTATGATTGGAGGAATGTGTTGGAGTACAAACATGTTGTTTGAGGCCAAATGTTTCAAGCATCTCATTAAATTTTATCGTATTTCTGTTAACCGTATCATCCAAGTGAAAATTAAAGTCCCCGGTAATCAATAGAATTTCTGGACATAGAACAATATCCTCCAAATAGTTTGAGAATTCTTCAAAGAATTTTCCAGGTAGAACAGGGTGAGCCGCGCAATAAGGTGGACGATAGATAGCAATAAGTTTAATAGAATATTCAAGTATGGAAAAATTCCACTCTGAATATTCAAAGGATTGCGTTTCTCCACCACCAGAAAGAGAGACATATAAATTGGTGTTAAACATTACGCCTGTGCCTCCTCCTGATCTGTTCGATTGACGGGGAAATGATTTAAATGAATATCCAGGGAGACAAACGCCTGCAATGCTTGTTGTGTCCATGTCCTTCAACCAAGTCTCAGTTACAACACAAACATCAATATTTTGATCAACAATATAGTCGGAGAATACAGCTGCCTTATTTCTTAGTGATCTAGCGTTAATCGTTGCAAAACGTAACATATCTGGTTTTGGATTTGAGACAAAATTTACACATACTAAGTTGTTGACATTAACTTTCCTTGCATGAGTTCTCGGCCTTGTCTTGGCACATAAGTTATTTGGACGAACTGTATTCTAGTAGGAATTAGGCAAACAAGTTCAATAGACGGAACAGAATTCAAATTATTTTTATTACTTCGCTGCGTTATTATATTAATATTCTTTGGATAGTTAATATCAGCAGTATTGGAACTAATTACGCGTTCATTAATTGACGGACAAGGACTAGGTGATTTAGCCATTCTGGGGATCGCTGGTGGGATCGAACAATCGAGGGGGGTGGCTTCCGTCCCGGATTTTCCTGAAAAGGACGTTTGAAATCAACAGGAACTTGATGACTGTATTCTAGGGATTCATTGAGACTGATTAGGGGTAAAAATTCTATGTCTTTAAGAACATTAAAAGTTGATGAACTGACGTTCCTCAAACTGCAGTGGTGACCATCGATAATGGGATATGTGTCAACCTTGTTGTCGACTTCATTCATAGTAGCTGACACTCCAGGGACTTGAAGTAGGGATTTGAGTTCGATAATATTTGGCAATTTCCTTGCATTCGAATTACCTTTCATGTGCTGACCGTCGCGGGATTTGGCGCCATTGATCAGGTTATTATTATGGCTTTGTAGTAGGTCGGCTGGGCTGTTATCACTATTTAAAATTAACTGATTATCCTTAACTGATAAGTCTTTGTCGACGCGTCTATTGTTGGAAACGAATAGATTGGAAGTCACGTGCGACTTCTGTGCAAGGTCGGTCAGGGAGTTTTCCTCACCCAAAACTCGATTAAGGACAAGATTGCTTTGTTCTACATGATTGACCGCGCATTGTTTATCGTTCTTTGTGGCAGTGTTGCTAGGGAAAATTTCATTCTGCTTTGAATTGGAGATTTTGGTCTTAATTAGATCTCTCAAGGAGACATTAGTCGCCTCAGTGGCTTTCAGTTTAAATTCAAGAGAGGCAATAATATCGTTCAATTCATTAACTTCAGAAGATCTTCCTTTGATTAGAATAGACAGTAATATTCTGGGGCCAGTTGTACGAAAGGTGGATAAATCGCTATACTGTGGATAAGTCCCTGTCCAGAAGATAAATTTTACCCGGAGTGAAAATCGCGCTGTAGGAAGTTTGGATAGCGCTATCCAACGAATGAAAAAGCATTATTATCCGTTGGATAAATTTATCCGAGGTCGGGAGGTGTAATGATATACTTCCGGTTTGAGACCCCCCATGGGGCCTCGTGTTGTTGTTGTACTTATCTATTATCAAGTATAGAATATAAATCAGAACTGCCTGGGAAATATAAAGCTCAAAGCCTATTACATGGTGTCAGGAGTGCGACTTTACTGAATATCGACCGTATGAAACTTCCTGTGATGTAATGGGACGGCGAAAATCTCAAGGAAAATTGGCGACGTTTTAAACAACATGTCGAATTAATGTTCTCTGGACCGCTGAGATCAAAAAACGAAGCGGAGAAATGCAGCTACCTACTCATCTGGGCAGGACAAAAAGGCAGGGATATATACAACACATGGTCGGATATCTCAGAAACAAACACAGGTAAATTAAAAACATATTATGATCGATTCGAAAAGCATGTCAATCCGAAAGCAAACTCCGTCTTTGCCAGATATAAATTTCATAACAAAATACAAGGCCCCACCGAGCCAGTAGAGGAATTCACAACAGAGTTACAACTCCTAGCCCAAGATTGTGAGTTCCACGACCAAAATGAAATGGTTAGAGATCGAATTGTGTTTGGGACAAATTCAAACAAACTGAGGGGAAAACTTATAATGGAAGGAGCAGAACTCACGCCAGAAAAAGCTATACAAATTGCAAGAACCTATGAAAAAACCCAAGCCCAACTCAACAGCATGTCTCCTGAAAACAAGGAAGAAAGCATTCACTTAGTTAGACAGCAAAACCAAGGCTGTCAATCTCAAATATCGAGACAATCACTTGACCAAAAGTACCCCCAGCAATCACTTGAACAAAAGTACCCCCAACAAATAAACCAGTGTGGGAACTGTGGTAGAAAGCACTACACGTCAGAGAAATGTCCAGCAAAAGGGCAAACCTGTTACCTATGCAACAAGCCCAACAATTTTGCACAAGTATGTCGATCAAAAAGGAGGCGGAGACAAATACACCCTATCGAGAAGGTAGAATGCGACCCCTCAATAACCCAATCAATTACTGTAGCTAATGTTAACCACCAAAATTTGAAGGCAGGAGCAGACGAAGTGTTTGCAGAGGTGGGCATCTACCTAGATCCAAAGCCCAAGGCAACAGTCAAGGCTTCCCTACAAACACACGCAAAGGCATCACTGAAAGCAAAGTTGATACTGGTGCCCAAGGGAAAATACTCCACCTAAGATTATACCGTGCGATGTACCCCTGCAAAATTGATCAGAAGGGCAACCCCAAGAAAGGAGCTACAGAGCATTCCAATACTATCCTCACAGCATATGGGGTATCCAAGTTACACCACCATGGCACAGTCACCATTGATTGTGAATTCAAAGGCAAACGATCTGCTGCACAGTTCTATGTCACAGACAAACAAGGCCCTGCTATCATTGGCCTAACAACGTCGATTGACCGCAACCTTGTGAAATTCAATTGTGCCATACTCAAACAAGTGTTACACCGCAACACACTATGGTCCACCACAAGAACCCCTGAGCAACAATCACTAACCACCAGAACCCCTGAACGACCTCCAATACCCAAACCAATTAAAGAGCAAAGAAGATTTGATAGATCAAATACCCGAACTGTTTTAATGGCATAAGAAAATTCGAAGGCGAATACCACATAACCACCGACCCATCAGGCCCACCTGTTATCCACCCTCCGCGACGAGTTCCAATCAGTCTGAAAGACGACATTAAGAAAGAACTAGACGAGATGGTTGCAAATGGTATCATAACTAAAATAAACGAAGGAGAGCCCACAAGATGGGTAAACAGTCTGGTCTACAAGAGGAAACAGAATCGACGATTATACCTAGACCCAAAAGACCTAAACACAGCTATCTTAAGAGAACATCACGCCATTCCTACCTTGGAAGAGATTTTACCAAAATTACACAAAGCAAAGTTCTTCTCAATATTCGATGCAAAGTGTGACTATTGGAATGTGGTACTTGACGAAGAAGCAAGCTATTTAGCTACCTTTAACTCCCCATTTGGCAGCTACCGTTTCAAGCGTATGCCCTTTGGGCTGAACTTGTCACAAGAAATCTTCCAGCAAAGATCGACCAAACATTCGAAGGACGTAGAGGCGTTGACGGTATCGCAGAAGATATTGTTATCTCTGGCACAACAGAAGAACACGACCAAAATCTACGAAGCATGATGAGCCGGTGCCAAGACACAGGTCTGAGACTAAACCCTGACAAATGCCACATAAAGCAAGAGAAAAACAGTTTTATCGGCTTATCTGCGGTCCAGAAGGAATTCAAGCAGACCCTGACAAAGTGTCCGCCCTTAGGCAGATGGCCCCACCGACCAAGAGCAAAGAACTACAGACATTCTTGGGTCTGGCCACCTATATGGCACCATTCATCCCGAATCTCACCACACTGCCTCACTGCGACAGCTACTCAAGAAGGAGAGCAAGTTTGCCTGGGACGCAAGCCAACAGGATGTGTTTGACAGGATCAAGAATTTAAATTCTGAAGAAGTTAGACTAACATACTTCGACCCAAAGAAAGGGACAGTAATGCCATTTGACGCATCAACAAAAGGCCTGGGAGCTACACTCTTGTAAGAAGACAAGCCAGGCCGCCTTTGCCAGTAAAGCTTTAACTGACGTAGAATCACGATGCGCAAACATCGAAAGATAACTCTTAGCAGTTGTATACGGATGCGAAAAATTCCACACTTATCTCTACGGCCGCAGTTTTACAGTCCAATCTGATCATAAACCCCTTGAATCTATCCTCCTTATGCACCTAACATCAGCCCCACCTCGCCTGCAACGGATGTTGTTGCGCCTACAGCCGTACAGCCTTACAATCAAGTACCGTCAAGGAGCAGATATGGAAATCGCAGATGCCCTATCAAGACTTTCGCCCCAGGAAACAGAGCCCATCTCTGTCATGGATATCCAAATACACGAAATCTGTACACAATTCAGTAGTGGGATTTTGCAGGAGATCCGCGTGGCAAGTGCAACAGATCCGGAGCTTAAAGAATTAAATTATGTGGTTTACAATGGATGGCCAACGAACATAAAGCAGGTCCCAAAAATCCTCAAACCCTATTGGACCTTTCGTGATGAGATCACCACCGAAGATGGTATAGCAATGAAAGGCCAACATATTATCATCCCCCATAGTATGCAGAGCATGATACTTACGAAGCTTCACGCAGGTCATCAAGGGTCCGAAAAAACTAAATTAAGACCTCGAACATCGGTTTACTGGAGAGGAATGAACAGTGACAATGTGTGACATTGAGAAGTCGTGCAAATCGTGCAATACATATCAAGAAATGCAGAACAGTCAACCCAAACAGCCACTTATCCAAACAGAGATACCGCCAGGTCCATGGCATACCATCGGCACGGACTTATTTTACCTAGACCGAGCGGAATACTTATTGGTCGCTGACTACTACTCAAAATATCAGTTCGTGCGAGAGGTACCAAAAGGGAAGAGCAGCAGTAGGACAATGGCGAATTTAACGAAAGAAATTTTCAGCGAACAAGGAATACCCAAAATCGTAAGATCCGATAATGGGCCCCACTTTGAAGTCAAACATATAAAGAGTTCGCAAAGCAATATAATTTCCAACATACCACAAGCTCACCACACTACCCCAGAAGCAACGGGTTTATTGAGAGCCAAGTCAAGACTACGAAAAAGACAATGAAAAAAGCGAGAGCAACCAATACAGACCCACGCATGGCTTTGTTTTGCTTACGGGCAACTCAAATCAACAGCACTCTTCCATTCCCAGCTGAGCTCTTATTTGGTAGACCAATCCAAGACAACCTGCCAAAGAAAATACCGAAAGGAAAAACAACTGAGGAGGTGACTAGCAGACTATTACAGCGGCAAGCTACGCAGAAATACTACCAGGACAGAAATACAAAACCACTCCAACCATTAAAACCTGGTCAAAGTATAAACATCCAAGACCCAAGGACAAAAACCTGGAAACCCGCAGAGATAAAAGAGAAAATTCAAGAAGTACCCCGATCATACATTATTACGAAACCAGGAGGAGGAGAAATCAGACGAAATTGAACCCAAATACGAGAACGCCCATAGGATCCAATGGAACAAGCATAGCAACAACCCGGTGAAAAAACAATAGACAACCCCGAAACCCCGTCCCCTAAGAGCACCCAAGAAAGCCAACAGTCTGTAAATGACTTGTTATTATATATACAAAACATTTTATCTTTTTGATATCTAAAAGAAACTATATAGTTCTATACTGAAATCCAAGGAACTATAAACTTTCATATCAAGGTTCGGGAAAGGAGGATGTAATGATATACTTCTGGTTTGAGACCCCCCATTGGGCCTCGTGTTGTTGTTGTACTTATCTATTATCAAGTATAGAATATAAGTCAGAAGTGCCTGTGGAAATATAAAGCTCAAAAACCATTACAGGAGGTAGTTTAAATCGACTATTCGGCGGATAAACTCAATGTTTGAAGACAAAACAATGTGTTTTTCATTTAAAAAGGATTACTATTGTGATAGAAATGGACAAATACCGTTTAGAAGTCCGTTTTTAGACACTAAATAAACATGAAAACTTACTTATGACTTCTCTTGCTCTTGACGTACACCGAGCTGACGAGAAGTACTTTACAAAGACTTTATAAACATATATCCTTGACAGGACTTCATAAACTTGTCATCAAACTGGTCGCCTGATATTGGGGACTTGTATAGACATATATGTGCATGATATTAAAAACAAAATATTTCGGAAATGTTTCATTAATCTGGAAATTTGAAAGAATTATATTTTCCCATTTTGGACAACATATATTTCTATACTTCCTCACTCCGGTGTTGCTGTGCAAGTGATGCAACAAACCGCCTTTGGCCAATACCCTTTTCAGTGGCTGATTAACATTAGCCGCCTGATATTCGGGACTTGTATATAAACATATATTGTATGTGCATGATATTAAAAAATGAAAGTGTTTGGGAATGATTCATTAACCTGGCAATTTGAAAGAATTATATTCTGTAGTTTTTGAACAACATATATGTATATACTTTTGCACTCTGGTGTTGCTGTGCAAGTGTAGTGGTAACAAGTCGCCTCTCGCCTGCACCCCTCTTTGCCGGTGGCTGATTAACTGTCGTGGCTGATCATAACTTTGGTGGCTGATTAACTTTGGTGGCTGTCGAACTTTGGTGGCTGATCATAACTTTGGTGGCTGATTGCTTTTGTGCTGATTAATTGGGGATTACTATTGACATATATAAGTAATATAAATGAATATAATGTTTTAAAAATTATTAAATATAAAAGCTTATATGAAACATTAACCTGGACATTTAAAAGAATATTATTCAGTCTTAAAATGTCAATGCGTCCTGATCCACCGTACTTTATATTTTTATTTTTTCCAACGCCAGATATGATTTTACTCGTGAAGCGAAGAGTGCTGCCACTCAGTGGGGTTAACATTCGCCTCCTTATCTTGATTACTTTTGTGGACATATATATATATATATATATATGCATGGTATAAAAAATGAAAGTGTTGTCGAAACAATTAGGTATCGACTCGTCTATAAGAAGACAAAGTCAACCATAAAGAGTTTTTGTGCGGTTTAGTGGAATGTGGAAGTCCTGACCCACCCCATCCTCCCCCCATCCCAGTCACTATGCTTCTGCCGAAAAAAGGTCATAGCGACGGAATAGCTATAGCAGGTGCTCTAGATAAATTTCAACAGTTTGTAGATCAGATTAATACTTTACACCTTTAATTAAATTAGGAAATGCACAACAGAATGATAGAACTATTACGTTCTTATTATATATTTTGTTTAACATTCTAGATTGAGCATTAAGATACAAGATTTATAAAAACAGTCTAGGACATGTATATTTGTCTGTATGCGTTTTCTTTAGAACAGGTAATCTCAACTGTTATAGGGTAAAATGAACATGGCGGTTAATATGGCATATGTGCCAATACCTGAATCCAGGACGAAAGTCCTGAAAATGTCCCCGCCCTGAAACGGCAGTGTCGACATAGCTCTAACTTCAATTCCGAAAAGGAAAAGCGATATCCTTTCTGAAGTGCTTATAGTGGTTGGAAGGGTTGCTTTTGGTGGTGGTCATTGGAAGGAAAAATTTGTCTAAGTATAATATTTTACAAGAAAATGACCATGCACAATCCCAGGTAAATTGCTGATCGACCTTTCCGGTAATTACGTCACGATTAACACTGTTTTCCACTTAGAACCACCTTAAATGGAATGGATTTTAACGGGGGAGCAAAACATCCTTCTTCAACACATGCATAAAAATCCCCTCTTGGCCGCTCAGCCTCGTTTTCGTGTTTAATCTAATTTCCATATTTAGTGGTCAAAATCAAAAAAAAAATTTTCATTTTATTTATGCTTCAAAACTTGATGATCGAAACTTAAGAGGCATTGTCTGCAAGAACGGTCCAGCGAATTCTGACTCAATTTTCGTTTGGCTTCATAATATGTCAATAACTTCCTTTATGTATCCTGCTTCTTGTTTAAACAGTCATTTCTTGAAAAGTGTCTTATTATTTTGTTTATCTTCAAATGTACTAGACATGTTCAGGAATCCAAAACGGCGCTCATGATTAGGACGGATATTTGCAACTTTCCTAACTTTGCACTGAAGTCGTGCGAGGGTCAACAGAACATGTATCCGTGTTTTTTATTGAATAATGTATGTTCTTTTCACGAAAATAATAATAAGCCAATTATCTATTTAGAACGTTAACGGGCGATTTTAGTGCCAGTAATATTTCACAAGTCGTTGTAAAAAATTGGATTGCCTAAAAAATTTAACACCTATTAAAATATGTAGATGAATAACTAAGTTATTCATATCAAATGAAAAAAAGTTTTGCTCAAACTCATTTCCCGCGACAAAGGAAGGAGTCTTTATGAGGCAAATCCTCCCCAATGCATGGGCGGGCTAACATTTACGAGATAGTGTCCTAGCCACTATTTCTTGTTAATGCTCGTCTTAGGTTTATTCGAGAACTATGATAGTCCATTTAGTTAAAATTTCACTTTGAATGCCAGAATTTTGTAAACTGGAGATGGATATTTTTCCATACAAACGCGATTAGGCGACAATACATCTCCGCTTAACAGCTCTAAAATAAATAAATACACGGAACAAATCAATAATGTTTGTGTTTAAATAAGGCGTTTTATAACTTTTCTTTCTATTATTTATTAGATAAAAAGTATGTTCACCAATTCCGTCACCATTATCGGAAAATTGTTTGTATTTGAAATATATTTGTAGTTTTAGCTTTTGTCTATAATACGCATTTCCCTGATAATTAAAAGTTGTCGATTTTTTTGTCGATTTCAATGTTTCTTTTAATATCCGGTTTCTATAACTGATTCAATGTAAATAACACGGCGCTTTCGTTTTTTGGCATGCTTTTTCTTTATTCTCTTTAACCATGTCTGGAACTGTTTTGTTTTTTAAGTAAGAAGGATCCCAAACAATGTCGAGGACTAAGTGAGATATTTCGACTTTATGCAATGATAATGCGGGACACCTTGAAAGCTTGCACATTTTCGGAGAAATCGTTTCTGAAGTTGAACTGATTTCGTTTAATATATCACCCAACACACACAGGACTCGAAAATCCTTAAAAGGAAGAGATGTTATTACTTATTAGCTTGCAAATGTGCAAAGATGTGCAAAAACAGTATGTGGGGTATCTGTACCTCTCGGAGCAAGATTAAGGGTGAAGGCTATTTCAGATACGGTAGAGCACCTAGTGCCCAGGCCTTTACCGGCGCGACCGCGAAATTCAATATGGCGCCAAGATAAGGAGTGGAGTTTAAATGGAGTTTATATTCTATATTTTCTATTGTTGTTTTTTTATCTTTTTATACTTTTTGGTTGATAGAACTTATATTCTGAAATGCCAGGTTTCTTACTCTTTATCTGATTAATCTGAAAAAAGATTTTATGACAAAATTTTTCTCAAACATAGTTATAAAAACTAAAGTAAAACGTTAATGTATATTTCAATAATATCTATATGTTTCAGTGAATTATGCTCTAAAAGTAAAAAATAGATTGGCCAAGATAAGAAATTTTTTACACATACCACACATAAAGTGAAACAGAAGACATATCATTGACTTTTGTTAATTATAGTTTCAACTTCAACTTTGAAAATTGTAATAACAGCCTAGTTTATATTGCATAATCCACAGAGCTTGAACATCCCTGCGGAATGTACAAATTATTGACTTTTCGAGTGAAGTCCTGTTTGAATTTTTCAGGTACTAATTTCTATCTCTCAAAATCTACAGTTATCTTGTTATCGTCTCTATCTAGCCTGGCACAGACCGTTCAAGATTGCACTGTTTCATTAGCACCAACACTAACAGTCATGGTGGCAGGGATGGATCCAGCATGATCTGGTAGGGGGTGGTTTTGATCTGCCAGCTCTAATGCCGAGTTATGTTGGTCATGTACGCCATCCGCCCATCAACTTACAAGTAAAGTCTTGCTTGACTACTGTATTTGAATTGTAATTGTTGTTCACAGTTTGCTTATTATCATGTTATCACTCAAATCACTGTTTTTTGCTTTATCATGAAAAATAGCACCCCCTGGCCAGGGGGTGCTATAAATCCATCCCAGCATACAGTTGGGTTTATAGGAGGAGGGGATGGGGTTGACAGAGGTACACACCCTTGGCCAACAGGGGAGTGTAAAAATCAAAAGGGGGGGGGGGCGTTTCAAATTGAATTTACCATTTACCTCTGATATTGTATAATGCATATAATTAGTATTACAAATATATTGCCGCCATGTATCCTTAGGTATTTCATGTGGTATATGTAAATGGGGTTAGTACCCTAAGTATCTTACTCCTCATGCAATGCCGGGTTCAGAGTCCTCACCTGTTCGCCTAGCATGCCCCCAAAACAACCTGGCTGAATCTAACATTGCCAAAATGATTATATTATAA